CTGGTGGGTCAGAGTGCAGGTAGATCTCTGCTGTAAGTTTGAGGCCAGCCTAGGAGAAGTTTCAGAATTAAACTAAAATGACCCAGGTGGCCTTGGCCTGTGCCTCCTCCTTTACCACCTGCACCAGTGTCCTCACCCAGCCAGGGTTAGCAGAGCCACGGGGCCAGTCGACCCTACACTCTTTCCTACAGTAAAGAGGAAATTTACTTTAGTAAAATTTACTTTACTTTTAGGAAAGAGTATTTAGAGGGTCATACATTTCTTGCCTGCAAAATGGGGCTAGTTAAGTACATAGTACCTGTCTCCACAGGACATGCAAGGAATATGGGGAGGTGAGTAATGCTCCCTGGAGAGGGGACATGGCAAAGAAGCTAACTTTAGAGCAGAGTACTAAAGGCAAGAAGAGATGTTGCCAGAAGGGAATGGGTGCTGAGGAATCCTGCTCTCTGTCCCCCAGACTGGGAACAGCCTGTGCCTTTGACAAAAACATGAATGAGCTTGCTGTGTTCAGCAAGAGACACAAAGAGATCCTGGCTGGAGTGAGGGCTGCCTGGGTGGGAGGGGCCTGGCAGTGCTAACACTAAGAGAAAGTGGGAGAAGGCTGGAGTTCCAGCATCATGGCCCGGGTTCTCCCCACAGCTCCCCTCAGATCCCCCAGCCCCCCTAGATTTGAAGAGGCCTTACTGTTCTGCCACAGTGGAGAGACTGTTAGGTGCTCTGCAGCCCATGCTGTTGGGAGTTGAAGAACTTTCAAGTTACACTTTTATTTTCTTTTTGAGACAGTTTCTCTGTGTAGCCCCGAATGTCCTGGAACTCACTATGTAGACCAGACTGGTCTCCGATTTACAGAGATCTGCCTGCCTCTGTCTCCTGAGTGCCCAGATGTCAAGTCATACTTCTTAAAGCCAGGCAGGGTGCTGGTATCTGGAGTGCCAGCATTCGGGAGGAGACTAGGCAGGAAGATCGCCAGTGAGTCTGAGACCAACGGGACTTACGGGCTGCAAGGCTTCTACCACTCTCAGTACTAACAGCCCAGTGCGTTTGGATCCGGTTTAGATTGGTATTTACAGCTGTCTTTCAATTTTCTGGTACTCTGTGTACTAGTGATGAACTGGCGCCGGCTACTCAGCTTCCCCAGATCTCAGTTTCCACATTGGCTTTCATGAGATTTAGACTGTATGTAGGCACCCATGTCTCCAAATCAAGGCTCCTTCCCAGGGTTTCCATCTCAATGGCAAAGCTAGAAACTCACTCCTCACTCTAGCTGCTCCTGGCTAATGTGAGCGGAGCCCTGCCAATCCTCCCGGAACACACCTTTCTCTCTCACTTCGGCGGGCGCCATCCACGCTGCCCCTCTCCATACCTTGCTTGAACCGGGAAGAGCAACTGCTTATTAAATCTCACATCACACCCCAGCGGAAGGCCCACTTGCTGTGAGCTCCAAAGTCCCAGCGCACAGCCTATGAGCCGCTGTGGAGCGTTCTCTGACTTCCATGCCCCGTCCCCACCTGTCATCGTCTTCGTCCTGTTCCCAGAACGCGATGGCGACCTTTCCTGTGCCCTTTGTTGATTTATAGTTCCCCTCCCCTGCCTTTTCTTAGTCTGGAACTTTCTTGGCTGAAAGCCCCCTCCTTGGACGGCCTTGCCTGCCCTCCCTGCCTGGAGTATCTTCCTATGACACGGGTTTCTAACACAATGCTCCTTTCTTCAGGGACTGCCCGCAACTTCTCATTCGCTGTCTTAGATCAGGCTCTCTCCCAAGATGAGGAGACAAGTACAAGATGTATTGAGGAAATGCTCTCAAAGGGCAGCTGGCAGGGAGCAGGACAGGAACGGGGCGAAGAGCGAGGCTCTGGAGTGCAGTCAAGCCTTCTCAGCAACCCACAGCGAAGCTTCGTGCTCGGCTCTGCCTGTGACTCTATTCCTATTCCGATCAGACGGACTCATCCGTCAAGGACCTGGCACAGGGTGGGATCAGCGCCCAAGAACCTCCAGCTTCCTCCAGTTGCCCAGGAACAGGCTTCTGGAAGGTTCCAAGTGAAAAGGTGTACTTCAAGCAGGCCAATGGCCACAGGTAGCAAAGCTAAGATAATGCCAGTCACACTTGCTTCTTTATTTTTGTTCAAGTTTTTGAAGTTAAGGTTTATTTACATCATATCTCCTTTTCTCTTTCAACCCCTCCCACACCTCCCCTTTCTCCCTCTCAAATTTATGCCCCCTTTTGTTATTGTTTTCCAACACACACACACACACACACACACACACACACACACACACACACACACCTTGCTTAATCCAGTTAGTGTTGTTTGTATGTGTATAATTTCAGGGCTGACCAATTGGTATTGGATAGCCCATTAGGGGCTCTTCCCTGGGAAAGACTTTCTCTCCTCTCTGTGCTCCTTAGTAGCCTATAGTTCTTTGTGCAGGGGTGAGGTCTCATGAAATTCCTCCCTTCCGTGTTATTGGTGTTGTAGTTCTTGTTTCAGCCTTGTTAATTGGTATTGTATTTATTCTGGTCTTGGTCAGGCAGCCATATTGTTGAGATATCTTTAAAAAAAAGATTGCTTAATTTATTTATCTATGTGCATGCCTATCCCCATATAGGTACATATGCACAAGTGTGTGCAGGTACATACATGCTGGGACTAGAAAAGGGGGTCACGTGTCTTCATCTGTCACTTTCCACCTACCCCTTTGAGTTGGAGTTCTCCCTGAACCTACAGCCCCTGTTTATTGGCTATGCCAGAAGCCAGCAAGCCCCAGCAATCTTCCTGTCTCCCACCCTTGGAGCTGGGGTTACAGGCATTCAAGGGATGTCTGATTTGTTATGTGGGGGACAGAATATGAATTCCAGTTCTCACGATTTTGCAGCAAACACTGTTAACTGATGAACCAACTCTCCAGTCCCATAACGCTTCTGGATTATATTGTAATACCCTAACTTAAATCAGCAACAGCATAACCCTTTGGGGATACTGTAGCAGGCTTTCTTGGATCTCCAGCCCCGAAATCTTGACATGAAGACTTAGTATTAGTTATGAGTGGTTGGCCTTATCTTATGCTGTCCCACCAGCTCTTACAACTTTAACCTGTTTCTCTTCATCCACGTTTTTCCTCAAGGCTTTTTACCTTTCATTCTGTAGTCTTGCTTTCTTGATTCCTCCAGAATGTCTGGCTGGCTGGCAGCTGCCTGGCTCGCCGACCCTGGGCATCTGTAGTAAGAGGAGGAGTGGGCCACGTCCTGCTGCCCGGCTAGCTTACCCCCCGAAATAACCACACAGAAATTGTTTTAATTAAATTACTGCTTGACCCATAAGCTCTAGCCTCTTATTGGCTAACTCTCACATCTTGATTCAACCCATTTCTAATAATCTGTATGTCACCACGAGGTCGTGGCTTACCGGGAAAGATTCAGCATGTCTGACCTGGCAGCTTCATGGCGGCTCTCTCTGCCTGCCTTCTTTCTTCCAGCATTCAGTTCTCTTTTTCCCGCCTACCTAAGTTCTGCCCTATCAAAAGGCCAAGGCAGTTTCTTTATTTAACCAATGAAAGCAACACAAATACAAAAGGACCTCCTACACTAGGCATCTCCCTCTCTTTCTTCCTCATTCTCGCTGGAGACTAGGTTCCTCCTCCTACTTATTCCCTCTGCCCACCAGCCCCTCCTATGCCCCCTCTGTCTAGCTATTGGTCATTCAGCTTCTTATTAGACCAATCAGGTACTTTAGTCAGGCAAGGTGAAAAAACAGCATATCTTTAGCTAAACAAATGTTCTATCCTTCAGCAGGAGCTCAGCAACACAGCACAGGTCTGGGGTGTACAACATCCTGTATCAAAATCCAGCACAAAACTAGGAAAGACACCTCTGGGTCAGTAGATGTGGTGAGCACCCAGATTCTCGGCAGCTCTGTACACCGCCTTGTCTTGTACTTGACCTGTGCATCTCTTCTGGGGGCAATCCTTCAGTTACAGCCTTTCAATAAATGAATAAGTGTCAATAAACTGTCTTCCCGGACTTTATGAGAAAAACTTCTCTCCCTTAGGTTTTTTTTTTTTTTTTGTGCGTGTGGGGGTAATGAGACAGGGTTTCTCTGTGTAGTCCTAACTTGCCTGGAATTTGCTTTGTAGACCAGGCTGGCCTCAAACTCAAAGGTCTGCTGGGATTGAGGGCATCTGCCACCGTGCCTGGCTGTTTCCCTTAAGTGAAACCCCTCTAGCTGACTTACACATGCTGGCTTCAGAGATCGCACAGCTGAGCACAACATGGCCCCTTTCCCAATGAGTCTGCAGCAGGTAACGCCTCGGTTGTGGGTTATGTAGGTCATGACGGCAGCTGCTCTGGCTGTTTTACAGGCACTTAGAGCCGTCTCTGGCTGTTTTTCAGAAGAAAGGAATGAAATTGCTTGGCATCTCTGCTACATATCACGCCTGTCTCCTTTGTTGCCTTAACCTGTGGGGCAGTTCCTACTCAGCTCTGCACGTAGGCATGTTGAACATGTCAAAAATGTCCCGTCGGAATTACAGTGCAGGGTTAGTTTGACCTAAACCTGCCTAGCCTCGCTCCTCCCCCACCGAGGTTAAAGATATCCTCAGCTGGGACCAGAGAGATGGCTCAGCAGTTGAGAGCACTGTCTGTTCCTCCAGAGGACTGGGGTTCAATTTCCAGCACCTACATGGTGCCTCACAATGGTCTGTAATTACTGTCTCAGGGGAACTGGTGCCCGACCAGGCACACATATGGTACAAAGACATGCATGCAGACAAAACGCCAACAGATAAAATAAGTAAATAAATATTTTTTACAAGCCACCACCAGTCAAGGTACATGGAACGTCTGACCATGAGAGTGAAAGGCCATACAACTCTGGAAGATGGCCACTGATCCCAGAAAGGACGAGAGCATCCCTCACGGTGTCTGCCTTCCTGTGCCCCATATTCCTGCACTGCCTCTAATCACCCTCATCTATTTGGGGTTGAGCAGCTGATTCACAAGCAAAGCTCTCCCTTCTCCATCCTTTGACTACTTAAGTCAACCTTTCTTCAGCCCCACGACTGACTGGCTTTTTTTTCCCCCTGAGGAATAAGCATCTAGCCTTGGATCCTGAAACACCATTTGTCTCCGCTGCTTTCCTATTGCTGTGCTAAGACACCATGACCAAGGCAGCTTACAGAAGAAAGAGTTTATTGGGGCTTATACTTCCAGAGGGTGAACCCATGAACATCACGGCAAAAAGGATGGTGTCAGGCAGGCAGGCACAGTGCTGGGACAGTGGCTGAGAGCTCACATCCTGATCTGTGAGCTCAAGGAGGCAGCGGTGGTGGGGTTCCAACTGGGAGCGGCATGGGTTTTTGAAACCTCAAAACCTGTCCCCAGTGACACACCCTTCCAATAAGGCTGCACCTCCTTTTTCCTTTCCAAAGACTTTCAATAAATGGGGACCAAAGCACCCAAATCTATGAGACTATGGGGGCCGTTCTCATTCGAATGCCGCATTCCACTCCCTGAACATCATAGACCTGTAGACGTATCGTAACACAAAGTGCATTTAGTCTGCCGTCAAAACTTCCCATAGTCTTTCAGTCTCAATACGGTCGCAAGGTCCAAAGTCTCTGTTGAGATGCAAGTCAATCTCTTAATTGTAACCCCCTGTAAAATAAAAAAAAAAACAAGCAAACTACACACTTCCAACATACAGTGGCAAAGAATAAACATCACTGTTCCAAACGGGAGGAAAGGGGGCATAATGAAGACATACTGTAGCAAATCAAGATCAAAACCTAGTAGGGCAAATCCCAAATCCTGTAACCCCGTGTCTGCTGTCAAAGAGTTTAGGGCTCTGTTCTTCCAGCATTGCTGACCACAGCATCCTCTTTCTTGGGCTGACCCCACTCCCTGTGCGAGCTCTCCTTGTCATGGCTCTGGCACCTCTAATGTCCTGGGGTCTCCAACACCCTCCAGGCGTCACGTCCACAGCTTCATGCTGTGGCCTCTCTGGGCTTCCTCAAAGGGACACCTGTGTGATACACGCCTGGCCCCAGAGGAGGATTCCGCAGCCTCTTGACTCCTGTGTGCTATAAGACTCTAGAGTCAGAAGTGGCTAATGCTGCAAGTCAGGCAGCTGCCTGGGATGGTACCTGGCTCCCAGAGTTACACTTACATAGCTTTGATTTGTTGGTGCTTTTTAGGACCAGAGAAATCCCTGGCCTTTTCCTTTTACAAGTTGCAGGACAGCCTTCAGTAAGTGAGCTAGGTGGAGTCTCCCTGAGGGCACCACTCTCTTTATTTCATTTCTTCTCATCTCTTTCAGCACAAACCTGGGCTCAGACATTAAATTTCTTTTTTTAAAAAAAATATTTATTTATTTATTATGTATACAATATTCTGTCTGTGTGTATGCCTGCAGGCCAGAAGACGGCACCAGACCCCATTACAGATGGTTGTGAGCCACCATGTGGTTGCTGGGAATTGAACTCAGGACCTTTGGAAGAGCAGGTAATGCTCTTAACCTCTGAGCTATCTCTCCAGCCCCCAGACATTAAATTTCTTGGTGCTCTTTTTATCCTCACACTTGATGCTTTGTGCTTCTTTTTGCCCCACTTGTTCATTTTCATTGTGGACCTGTATATGTGTAGTCACTAATAACCTGCATATGTGTGGTCACCAATAACCTGCATACGTGTGGTCACTAATAACCTGCATACATGTGGTCACTAATAATAACTTGCATATGTGTGGTCACTAATAACCTGCATTCATGTGGTCACTAATAATAACCTGTATATGTGTGGTCACTAATAACCTGCATACGTGTGGTCACTAATAACCACATGACAGAATCATACTAGGCTGTCTAGAAATCTCCTCTACCAACAAATTTAGTCCAAAAACTCTTCAATTTTGTCTCAGACAAATTTTTAGGAAAAGAGAAGAAAGCATTCATGTTCTTTGCAAAAACAGAACGGCCTGTAGCCCAGTTGCTGATGTGGCTCCCCTCTGAAACCCCTTGAGCTGGGCCTCCATAGTCCACATTCTTCTCATGGCTGTGGTCTTCCCAGGTCCTCTAAGGATGGCACATTAAACCCTGCTTTCCTAGTTCGAAGTCTTAAAGTCTTCCACATTCTTCCATGAGGACATCGTAGTCAGGCCTGTCACAGCAGTGTCTGACTCCTGGTACCAAGTTCTCTCTTAGTTACTTTTCTAGTGCAGTGCTAAAATACCATGACCAAGGCAACTTATAGAGAAAGAGTTTATTGGGGTTTACAGTTCCCACAGACTGTAAATGAAGACTGTTCCTTTGCTTTCCAGCCACCCAGACCCTAATAAGCACACAGAAACTATATTAATGAATTAATTACAACACTGGCCAATAGCTTAGGCATATTCCTAGCTAGCTCTTACATCTTAGATTAACCCATTTCTATTAATCTGTGTATCACCATGAGGCTGTGACCTACTGGTAAGATTCTGGCATCTGTCTCCTTCAGCAGCTACATGGTGTCTTTCTGACTTCACCTTCTCTCTCCCTGCTTTACAGTTTAACCCCCACCCCAGCTATATTCTGGTAATAAAACATGTCCACAGCATACAGAGGGCAATCCCACATCGCACAGACTATTCAAATATATGCACCTATAGGAGTCATTCTCATTCAATCACACCATTCTAGCATCAAATATGAGGAGGCAAGATCACAGGAGCCCTTGCTGAGAGCTGGTCGGTTAGTAGTACAAGATACCCAGGGTCTTAACTGGTGTCTGATGTGGGTGAAAAATATATATGTACTTAGGTTGTTTCTAACATTACTTAATCACTTTCTATCACTAGGAGAATCATTCAATCATTTGGAAAACACATTGATTGCCACCTGTGTGGCAGGTAATAAGCAAATTAAACGTTAAGGCTGTAGCAGTGGATGAGAAGATGGTGTATTTACCGTGGAGGAGGGACCTATTCTCTAGCACAGAAACTCGCCAAGTGACCCAGACTGGCCTCAGATTCACAGCCATCTCTTACCCCAGTCTCCTGAATACGAGGGGTGCCACCTTGAACTCAGGTTCCTCCTGCCTCCGCCCACCAAGTGTTGAGATTATGAACCTCACCATGCTTACTTAGCTTCCAAACATACTGTGAGTTCATCATGGGCGCCTCAAAGAGCCAGAAACAGTGGTGACTTTTTGTCACCCAGGGAAATGAAAGTGTTACCTGTTAGAATTATTGATTGTAAAACTGCACACTGTGGCTGGAGAGATGGCTCCGCAGTTAGTGGCACTGGTTGCTCTTCCAGAGGACCTGGGTTCAATTCCCAGCACCCACATGGCAGCTCGCAACTGTCTGTAACTCCAGTTCCAGGGTATTCTCACAAGACATTCATGCAGGCAAAACACCAACGCACATAAAAATAAATAAATAAATCTTTAAAAAAAAAAAACCTGAGTGTTGCAGTGCATGCCTGGAATTCCAGCAAAGGCAGGGGCATTAGAAGTTCAAGGTCATCTTTGTCTATATAGAATGTTCTAGATCTTGCCCCAAAAACTTTCTTTTTTAAAGGCAAAGTAGAGGAATCAACAAAGGATCTACTTAGACACAGGCAAAGCAATACATTAGTCACCCTATTGCAAAGAAGAGAACCAGATGCATTTGGGTGGTCCAGGAATCAGCTCTGAAATGAGGGTTGTCTTGCAGTAGGTGGAATTCAACCCTGTGGAAAGTGGGAGAATTGGCTGAGCCCAGCAGTTAGGGCACAGCCTGGGCAACACAGACGAACCTATCTCTAAACAAATCAAAGCCCAAATGAGCAATGACATCAAACTATCATTAAAAGGATACAATAAAATTTTGCTTTTTTTGAGAGTCTTATTGAGCTCAAGCTGGCCTCAAACTTGACTCTGATGACTTTGAACTCTGATGACCTTGAACTTCTTTCTGTTCTCCGAGCCTCTGCCTTCCAAGTACTGGGCTTACGGATGGGTTCATGTTGACTCAGGTCTGGCTTTTTTTATTTTTTTCCTTTCCTTTCTTTTTTTACACAGAGTCTTATGTGGTCTGGGATAACCTAGGACTTTTTTACACAGAGTCTTATGTAGTCTGGAATAGCCTAGGACTTTTTTTTCCCACAGAATCTTATGTAGTCCAGGATAGCCTAGGACATTTTTACACAGAATCTTATGTAGTCCAGGATAGCCTAGGACTTTTTTGGGTTTTGTGCAGAGGATGAACTTGAATTCCCAACTCCCCCAGGACTAGGATTTCAGGCACATGGTGTCACACCTGTTTTGTTTTGTTTTGCTTTAATGCGGTGCTGAGGAGTCAACCCCGGGGTTTCATTTGTGCGAGGCAAGTGTTCCACCAGCTGAGCTACTCCCGCAGCTCAGCATCTTGATTACATACCTTGGGGGTGGTCAAAGATGACTATTCTGGGCTGTGACTCAGACATGTTCTCAGAGACCTCACCAGCCCAATACCATTTCTAATACTGGGCTCTAAGTATTAAATATTTTCAGAAAAAAAAGAAGTGTATGAGAGACTAGGCCAGGAGTATGACATCTCTTGCCACTGTAGAGCAAGGCCTGCATTGACCTGACCCAACCTAAGCACAGCGAGGATTAAGGGACTGACACCATAGTGGAGTTACTTAGCATAGTTACTCAATACGGTGGTCAAAGAGTTGTGGCTGCATTGGTCAGTGAACTGACCACTCAACCAGGCTGTCACTGCGCGGTGACCTTGGCATGCTTTCCCGCTCCTTAGCGCTCGGTGCCGATTCTCTGACCCTCTCATTAATTCCGTGCAATGCCACATTCTTCTAGCACATTACAGGAAGCAAGCTATCAAGAGTCCGTTGCCAGAGCAGATATCCTGACCGACACTCTCAGTTCTCCATCAAAACCCAAAGGACTTGTTTCCTCAGTGGCTGAGTGGGCTGCTGGCAGGCTGTCAGACCGCGTGAGAATTACCTCTGTTGAAAAGAATGTCATCCCCTAGGGTCAAGCACAGCTACTGCAGAAGTCTGGATTCAGACACTGGCCCCCACATGCTACTGCAGGACTTCCCACGATGCTTAGTTCATCTGAGTCAGATAAACGATCGTGTAGAACTGGACTGTAAAGCGTGGGTCACGCACGTGTTAAAAATTACTCATTGCATATTTAAAGTCCAAGTCTGACTGGAGTCCATGCTTTTATTAGCTAATTCCGGGACCACTAAACTCAAGGCAACTCTGATACTGCGGTCTCATCTTTCTTTGTTTGGTTTTCAAGATACCTTCTCATTATGTGGCCTAGACAACTCTGGAACCTACTATGTAGCCCAGGTTGGTGTCAAATTTGTGGCAATTTTTTTCCTTCAGCCCCTTAGTCCTGGGATCACAGGTGTGCACTGCTACAATCAGCTTCTTTTGCTTCTCCTTGCCCTCCCCTCATTCTTCTTTTGAGATCAGATCTCACCATGTTCCTCCACCTGGACTGAAACTCACTATGTAGACCAGAATGGCCTCACACACAGGAGCTCTGCCTCCAAGTGTGGGATTAATGGTGTGCACCAAGTCGGACTCTCTTTTCTCATCTTTAGTGGTATGGATGTTCTGTCTGCATGTAGTCTGTGTACCATGTGGAGGTAGTGCCTGTGGAGGCCAGAACAGGATCTTAGATCTCCTGGACCTGGAGTTACAGAGGGTTGTGAGCCACCTTGTGGGGTTGGGAGCCACCTTGTGGGGTTGGGAATTGTACCTGAGTCCTCTAGAGAAGCCAGTGTTTGTAGCCGTTGAGAAATTTCTCCAGCCCCTGGGAATGACATCAGGGGCTGGTGAGGTCTCTGAGAACATGTCTGAGTCACAGCCCAGAATAGTCATCTTTGACCACCCCCAAGGTATGTAATCAAGATGCTGAACTGCGGGAGTAGCTCAGCTGGTGGAACACTTGCCTCGCACAAATGAAACCCCGGGGTTGACTCCTCAGCACCGCATTAAAGCAAAACAAAACAAAACAGGTGTGACACCATGTGCCTGAAATCCTAGTCCTGGGGGAGTTGGGAATTCAAGTTCATCCTCTGCACAAAACCCAAAAAAGTCCTAGGCTATCCTGGACTACATAAGATTCTGTGTAAAAATGTCCT